ATAACACATTATATATTTATAATTTACGACTTTTCATTTGTATTTAATACAGTCCTGTGGAATTTGCCATGTCGCTACGATCCTCAAGCCGCCATCTAGTTAGTTAGTTAGTTATAAGGTAACACAACGAAATTAGGGCTCAGTGTTTTTATTTAGACGTTCCTTTCGCGAAACGAGCCAGTGAATAACGAATGTAATGTACCATAAATCAAAAAACACAATCTATCCTTCGTAACTTATCGTTCTTAGAATCTCAGGCCTGTACAGTCCTATCACAGTGTTCGTATTTCAGCAAGACTAGGCACCACCCCAGCCTTAAATAGTTGAATGTCTTCTGAATGGAACATTCTCCGCATAGTTAGATGGGAGGAAAGGTATGTTCCCCACGTTCTGCCACCATGGCCTTCGAGGGCATTGCGTTAAGAGTGCTGTGTACCACAATGCCGTACATGATGTCTTAGTTTCGGCCCTCCGAAATCCGTAGCGATCACTACCGTTACACGTGTTTAATCGAAGTAATCGAACGTGGACTGCTGTTGAATATCGGCTGAGTGTACCGAACAGCTCGTACGTGAAAACCATGTAATCACGTCAATACACATTCTAACACCATGTTTACATGGTAGTATTAACAGATGTATGTGTTGTGGTTATGGGTTGCAGCTTACGTGTATCATTCAAATTAATTAAGCCTGTTATTTCATTCGGTTCAAAACTTTTGCGAGAGAAAATCAAAACTCGGAAGCCTGTGTTACAGAGTGAGGTTATTTGGCGGATGTGCCGTAAGGAGTAGGGGATGCAGCAACCGACGCAGTGATAGCGCATAGTGGGAAGGCTGTATCGTAGCACAATACCGCCAAATACCCTTACTGTTGTAGTGAGTTCGTAGCTTCAGAAAGGGAGAGGAGCATTTTAAATAGCATCGGTATACTTGAAGGTATAAAATAAGGGTACTTGTAATTTATGCTCTCTATATCTTAAATACCTTCAGAGATACAAGTTACTTATTGCAGTAATGAGTATATACTATATATAAGCGGGAATGTTCATATCCGTCCAGGGCCTCAAATTTACTTACATGATTGTTTGGAAGAAGTATCTTCTTATGTCATATATACATACAGTCAAAGAGCATGTGATTTGTGAGGCATGTAGCACGGGGGCGTAAGATATTGACATTTTGTTAAGGAAGATTTGAAAATAGTGATCTATTAGAAGAACTGAACTAGTTCCATCGGCTTTCAATCCTCAAAACACCTGTTCCTGAGAATCATCGTCTTGTCGAGTCCTGAACTAATTTTTAATCCTCCTTGTATTACTCAATTACCTGTGTGTTTCCATATATTACGTTACCAAGGCCACATGTAATGCTTTGCAGACCTGCGTTATTGAATTATTAGCTAATTAATGCACCACCATGGTTTTAGGTGTACAACCTAATTGCTCGTTAGTGGCAAACTAAGACCTCTATCGTAAAAATAAACATACATTTATAGATAATTTGAAAATCGTTGTTGGTATTTCAGTCCTCTATACCATAAACATTAAATGATGACCCTTAAACTATATTAAATAAACTGGGACCCCAACATATGAATTAATGTCACAAACAAAGAAGCATTGCTCACGTCACTTACCGTCAAAAGTGTGAGTTATAGATATAACAAACCGTGTGTCACACTGAAGCGTTCGTAAAGTACGATTACCTTCTGGTCGGTTAAGTAGCGTACTGTTTCCGTAACAAATTTCTTAGACGCGTGGCTGAGATCTGCGCGATGTACGGTCATGTTTTTGTTTTTGATTTACAGAATTGTTTCACGCTACCTAACAGCAGTGCAGTTTCGTTTCGTGTGCTCGTTTGTTAACCTTCCATAAATCTGATCCAATTATAACGATATAAAATCTGCACGGATTTTATAGTATTTTGTAAAGAACGCCAGTACGTAACTGCGTGTTATATAATCGACATCCCTCAAAGTACGATACGAAGAGTTTAATATTAGCGTTATATTTAATGCGTTGGTATACGAAAGTTTCTTAATTATTCGCGTTTGAAATGATAAAGTTGAAATATTCTACTCTTCATTGTAATTGAGAATTTTCTTGGCGAAAACTGCTATAGGCCTGTTTCTTGGATAAGACACTATGGCCTTCATTCGACGATATTTTATGACAGCACAAATTGCCTATTTAGAAGTATAAACCAAATTATTATTTTTGTTATGAATGAATTCTATATATACACAGACATTAACAATCGCAAGGAAAACTTTTGTTATCGATCTCTTGACGATTAATCAAAATAATAGTGTGTGTGTGTGTGTGCCCGTGCGTAGGCGAAAGATTGAGCAGGGGAAGAAATTCCAGAACGATGATAAATAAGTCTATTGACATCTATTGAGTTATTGGTACCCCTGGTTAATTAATGTATTGAAAAGGAAGTGTAGCTAATAATGCAGTATTGATCCTCTTTTGCTTTGGTCCTGCAGAAACTTAAGCTAGATGTATCTTAATGTTGTGCATTAACATTATGTACAGTTCCGTGCAATCAGAATTGAAGCTGACAGCGCGGATGTGCCGGTATGCATCCACACTGCATTGTGATTGATGAAATTCAGAGCTTAGATAATTAAATTATGTTTAAATAGACATGTATACAACAGAATTGAGATTTTTATAGTAGGACGTCATTGTAATCTGAAATGTAAATTATGCAGTAATTGCTGATATGAATCGCAAACTTCGACGACACAATGACGCACTGCAATGTGGAAGTTGGAGTAATATTAACAGTGAGGACCATGTGTGAAATCACACCACATAAATCAAACAGTGTAATCAGGCTCTCTAATCCAAAAACTGCGTTGGAGCACTGGGGTATAAAATAATCAGGACGAACTTAATCTCTGCAATTTTTACTGAAAACAAATTGAATACTTTAAGTTTTTCTTTTGTAGTACGCGCATGCTCTTGTCAATTTTAGTTTCTTGACCGAAAACTGTTTTACCGAAGGAGTATTTTTTGTATATTTTGAACGTTTTCAGATGCTACAAGCATGTATGTTACGTGGAAGTAACTAAATTATTAATAATTACGTTGTCAGTACAAGAAACGAGGACGCCATCGAAACTGCTTTGCTGTTTTAAATTTTTTTCTACCAAACGACATTCATATTTACAATTGAAGTTTGCATCCACACAAGTTGAGGTAGTGTTAACAGTCTTCATTCTGCCTCTGTCGGAACACGCATTGTGTCTTCAGACAGAGGGAGTAAGCACCTCTGAGATGTCTGTCAGTTTAACCGCAACATCCCAGAAGACATACATCTTCATACTCGACGCCGTGAGAACCTGATTTCTCACATTATTAGAACAGACTATACTCAGATGTTTGCGGTCAACTGTTCTTAGTACGAGATTAGAACCATTCGTCTAGTTCAGTATTCCACACAGAATTGGGTTTTGTTGCGCCGTTTGTGTGTTGAAGCTGGCGTCTTTGATTAATGAATTCTCTGTGTTTCCTTATGAGTTTGTCGCTATAAGGCATTGCCTTCATCATAAAGCAGCGTCATATTACGGTTAACTTGCGTCTTTCCACGTTAAGCTTAATTTCGAGAAGGCACACGACATGAGGAAATTCAATTCTAAAGGGGTTTGACGACGGTAGTTTACACTTAAAATTATTCATTGTCAGGTTTCCATCGTCTGTTCTTTAAAATCACGACGTTTCGGAGGCTGGTTTTGTCTCCGTCTTCAGGTGAGAGGTACCTACTCTGTTGGGTCCCTTAGATTAGCTCTATCTAAGCGACCCAACAGTGTAGGTACCTCTCACTTGAAGACGGAGAGAGAACCAGCCTCCGAAACGTCGTGATTTTAAAGAACAGACGATGGAAAAAGTCCTGACAATGAATAATTTTAGGCCATGATGTCTTCAGTGGTGGTTCACCCTGTTACTCCAGTTATCATTGGGGCTTTTGCAGTGGGAATACACCACTTCTAAAATTGCATAGCCAGTAGGGGGAGGAGTTCTACTGTCGAATGCAGGGTGTATAATTTTTACACGCTGAAGTGGAAGAGAGTCCTTTAAAACACGACATTTAATCAGTCATAAAATTCCCCCGCCTCGATTATTGTTGTTTTAACAAAAGTCTTCCACCTCGTTCCCTCGCCCTGTTATGGCACTACAAGGGGACCATACCTCGAGACATATCAGTCGATACTACTCTTTGCACATTATTTAAGATCTATATTATGTTTACATTTACGATTTTGTCTCTTACTTTCGGATTTTACGGCCAGAATTTTGCATGCATTTCTTAATCACCCCAAAGCACTAGACGTAGGGTAAATGGGAGGAAAATATTAAAATGGATCTTAGGGAAATACGTTTGCAGGAAATATTAAAATGGATCTTAGGGAAATAAGTTTGGAGTATATGTACTGGATGGCCAATGTGAAATCGGTAGGCCTAATGAACCTTCGGGTTCCATAAAATATGAATTACTGATTTACGCACATCATAAAACTCTTTCTTGTTAAGTATAGGTTATAACACTGTTTTACAAAATCCTTACCCAGGAAAACTACAAAAATGGTATCGGAGTCAGGAAAGCTAAAGAGCTGCATATATCTGTAGTACATCCCTGGCTTCCTATCATAACCCAAATCCACCAAATCTACCCGCTTAGCACCTGACAATACCGTATGGTCGTCTGCACAAGGCTGAACAAAGCTTTCGGTTAATTAACTTCGAAATAAAAGTACTTAGCAATTCTTTTTCTGATGAAAGTGACAAAGAGGGTTACTTATGCGTACATTTCATATTAAATAACAGATAAAATCACAGAATGGATTAAAATGTGACGTTGATACTTTTGTACACCGCGTTGTTGACGGGTTCAAACGGCTACGTATTGTAGAGATTTAATAGCTCGTAATATCTAGTGTCTTAGAAATTAGAAACAGTGCCAATATGCAGTTTATTATGCTTTAAGTACTTACTAAAAATGCGGAATATTCAGCCAAGTTATCCCATCATCTTCGTCTTTTCTGAAACAAATTCAATTTCGCTTAGGTGCATAATTAGGGAGATACAATTTCAGAGATAGTTGGATGGGTATCTTTCTTATAAAAGAAGTAATGAGGATTTTACAAAATAGGCAGATATACAGTAACAACAAATTGGAGACAGGAAGCATTTGAAAGTCACACTTGAACAAAATGAAGAGGTTTGGTTCAAATTTCGATAAAAATGCAGACGGACGCTTGAGGATTACTTACTGTACACATGTTTCATATCGCACTACTGGAGTTGCGAAGGAAAACACCTGGATAAAAGCCATTCGTTACACAATTCGGATAAATTAATTACCGATGTGTCTGACTTTTCCGCAGTCTGCAATGACATCGGATAGTAGGCCTACTTCGGTTATTTTGTCTCCAGAATTGTTATAAAGCAGGATATACACGCGAACTTCCCCAACAGGTGATCCTAGCGAATAAAATACCTGATGCAATAATAATATGGAAGGATGTCATGTGTCAATACACATATTTCTTTAATTTACGTTCGTATGTAACGCAAATAAATGAGTATGGGTTTACAGTCATTGATGTATATTTTATCTGGAACACAATTTTGTAGCCATGTTATATTTTTGTTTTTAGTCACAGCAGTTACGTCCCTATACGATAAAACAATTTTATTTATTTTCATATTTTTTAATATTGTTGGAGAATGTTAAGACGGAAGACACGTGCCTTTGAGTGCCTGGAATAATCAGACTGGATGCTCCTGCGTGTCTCAAGTGCCTGAAGCTTTCAAATATGAGATTAACCTCAGGCACAGAATGCACTCTGACCATCTAACAGACTTCAAGAGAACCTCCAGTGAACAGCCACTTATATGATAACCAGTTTAAGATTAAGGCCTGTAAGGATTTCTGACAAGGCACACGGAGAATAACATAGCACACGCATGTAATGGATCAAAGTGGGACAGAGAAATTAATGTCCCGCGAGTTGTCGGCAACGAACGTGACGATTACAAAGCACGAAACTCGATGTACAGAGAGAGAAAGAAATAATAACTTTATTTTTTACTCTATATTTTAATGTACCTTTAATTTCAAATTAGACTGTGGCTATTACACATTAGACTGTGAAGTATTCTCCAGTTAAATGGCATGGGATGAAAACGTTATGTTAATCAAATAACCCCCTTTTTAGTCTGCACGACACAAAGGGGAGAAATGCACAATATTTTTATTTTTGCATTTACCTCGAACTCAAATATCTATTCTGGTCTAATATTAGGTCAGAAGTAAAACTCTTTCCTGGATTTTGGTATAACAACAGCAAAGTAAGTTAATATTCACGGTTTAATCTCAGAATAAAGGAAAATAATATATATATGTATGTATGAAAGGGCCTAAGACTACATAAATTCTTTCCTTAGTCAACTTCAAAACTTAATCTTCTTTTAAATGGGCGCCATTAATATGAGCTCCATCATAATTATATTCTTATTTAAATATCCGTATGGTCAGTGACCTTAAATTAATATTCTGTTGTGCCTGATTTGATTACAACATATTACTAAATTCTAAATTGAGAAGCACAAACAAACATTAACATATGGATAAACATGAGTGCATTGTTCTGTAGTGAATTGTCAGTGGATATCAAACCGTATTTCCTTGTAGGACTGCAATCATTAAATTATTTGCGCGATATAATCATCTTTACCTCGAGAAGTCAACCACATCACTGACTTAAACAACTTATTAATGCCGTCGTAATGCGAGAAAAGTAATAAATTTATAAATTAGAAAGGAAATATTGTATTTAATTTTATCACGTCATGATTTTCATGTACTCTGAAGAAACAGTACTGGTTACAGTCTTCGGGAATTTAATAATCAAAAAACGCCGGGCCAAGATGCACTGAAATACAATGTTTGGGGTGGGAGGTGTGAGCAGACCGTCATTATGCGAAATTAGCAACAAAATATACGTAGTAAGTTCGTGCTATGTGCCATGATTAACATTTTCAGCATATACTCGTCTCTGGGAATTTAGTGAAAAGAAAAGAAAAATACGACCCATAACTTTAAATGACAAAACAGAGCTTTCAGACACATAACGCAAAGTTCTAATTATTTTAAAAACAGTCGTGGAGGAGAGTAACATACTTTAATTTAACCACAATACCATTCTTGTTCCTTGAACCTGTGGGATTGTGCAGAACTTAACGCTGAGCTTATGGCGGAGGTGGAGGGGGGGGGCGAAGAGGGCTAGAAAGCAACATGTATGAGGTAAAGTTATGAATCATTTTAATTACAGACTTGTCAAGCTCGGGGCTTGTACATGATTAGAGTCTCAACTGTATAACAAGTCTGCCTGTGGCAAGTCTGTTGGGCGATACAGCGTGGCAAGTGTACGATCAACTTAACACCATACATCATGACACAACAGCCAGCTAAACGAACATAGCTTTCCAGCACGAGTCCTTTCTATGCCTGACAGCGTTATTTTTTACCTGTAAGGATGTTTTTTCAAATGTAACAAAGAGACTTGGAATTTTAAACCGAAAATTGAGATATTTTAAAAAGGATACGAAAAACAGAGGGGCAACTAAATACTTTTAAAGAACCATTAATAATACGGACAAAGTCTGATGCCGACAACTGAGAAATTGGTCACCAACAAACGCTAGGGAGCAGAATTACTTTTGATAAATCTTCAGCTGGGTAATATATACGGAGTTATTCTATGGCACCGAAAAGTGTATTCCCGTGTTCAGATTCTTCTCCTCTAGTCCTCTCCTAAACCAGAAAAATTCTGTCATAAGAAAAGAATTTATAGTTTTTAGAAGTTGGTAAATCACCAATGTTCATCAATTTCGGCTACCTTGACTCTTTATTTATAATTTCCTTCAGTTTTGTATGTCAGGCACTTAAGACTGCATTTAATATTTTTATTAAACGAAAGGTCCATGAAATAACTGAGATAATCTCTTGAACTTTCTCCTTCAAATCCTCGCGTTATGATAAATCTGGAAGTAATTTACACGGACCACTAGTGTGAAATATACAGAACTAATGTTATTTAATGGCTTCCTAGTCGTTCCTATTAATGTGTTGGTAGCATATTTCCTCTGTAAATTACCGGAAGCCTTAGCGTCATGCATTATTTATCCAGCATCGTCTGGATACTCTCGTATCACGGTCATTGAGCTAAGGGTGGCTTCGCAGGTGGTGACGGAGGAAGCAAGCATGTGACACGTGACGCTGTCACGCCATCTGCTGCACTACCACATAAGGACAACTGCCTATCGATACGTGACTCGTGACAAAATGGTTTGTCGTCATGATACAAATATCGTTGTTGGAACATCAAACTTTCTCGGCTCGTGCGACCACGTGCCCTTTTTTTTTAATGTTTTCGAAACTCGAAATCTGGATAGGGTCCCATTTTGATAATTTGAAGGTATTCATTACAATGTGACCAATGCTGAAAACATTTTCGGGAAATAAGTTACGTCATTATTTTCAGGTGTGGCAAGTACGTTTAGAATATGGGTGTGAAATCAAAAGGTAGTCACACATACTAACCGATATTTACTAATATTTACAAAATGGATATTGTTATTTATTTATTGGACTTTGTATATCAACAAACATGAAGCAAACACAGTTAACCCACAAAGTTCATTCCGACGATAAATATTTTACATGGTATATTAAATTGCTTTCTTAAATTGCTATTTACTGCCATTAATAGTACTGCTACAATTTCTCTCTTTTGCTCTACAGTTTTGATTTATTATTAACGATACACTAGGGGGCTGCTCTTATCAGAGTAGTAAAAATTCCAAATTATATAGTAAGTTGGTCACCACTTGCGAGCTGTTAAGAATTCGGAGGGATAAATTCGTGGCTCCTGGCATTCTCCTGGAGAAAATGATAAAACCACAAACAGACTCATTCAGGAGACCAAGTTAAAATTACCGATTGTTCCAGCTTGGAAATTTGGTTAGTATAAATGTGTGCGAAGTCTGTTCTCGTCAGCTTTACTCTATCAGGACAGAGTGGAGCGGACAGCTGAGGTTCTATTTACGACTTTTCAGTAGCATATTGGGCAAACCTGCCGATGATTGGCCTATTAATGCATTGGTTATAATTCTATAGAATTATCTGGCACCGTCTGCAATAAAAGCAGTTTCTGAAACATGTGAGGCTATTCCGTTAGCTTCAGCTTCTGAATGTTGCGTCATGTTGTATGGTACAGACGTTTCAGACATGCACTCTGATCACCATCATCCTGATGATGGCGGCAGCAAGCATCTCTGAAACATCGGTAAGCTTCAATTAGACTACACGGTGCAACGTACAGATGACAGTAATCTTCAAAGAGCATCTGTTCCCTTATCTAGCGCTCATTTATTCCGTTGGCAATAGCTCGTAAGATTACCACGCACAATGAATAGCATTAATAGTTGGTACAACGCTGTCATCAACATGTTTCTCTGCCTGACATATGGAGAAAATTATAACGTCCTATGTAGGAGATGGCGAAGGGAAGCCTTCCAGTCGGGTATGAGTCGCATTAGCATCAGATGGGTACGAGTTATGACATAGATCACTACTAATGCAAGATGGCGGATAGGGTGGGATGAAATCCCATACGTCACAGACTCGTCCATCAAGGATCACGTTGCCGTGACATGTATATGTCATTCCTCGCCACCCAACACGTTTAACAGGCGTGTTGTCTGCATTACGAATGAAACTTCCGTGGCCGTAGAAGGGTTGAGTTGAGATGTATGATCAATCAGCGGAGACAGACTGCCACGGAACCAATATCATGTTTTCTTGGTTTACGAATGCACCAGGTTCGGTTGCATAAATTGGTGTACTCACTTCTTTTGATTTTCTACAAAAAAAAAGATTAATTAGCCACCACTTTTCTTTCTGCCGTCCGTGGTCCGCATGTGTCTCGTATTTTGTAACAAACGTTTACCGCAGAACCAACTTTTGTACAACAGA